CATCCGAGAGTCACATCTTTTTCCACCTATTCTCCATTCCTTCTGTACATAATAAACTGTTCCTATCGCTCTGGCCTCCCATGACTTCTCAATCTCCAAAGTAACCGGGCCTGCAAATCATAGTGACTAGAGTTTAACCTTATTAACCTTAATACCGCGATAGTTGCTTGGAAAACCACCCTTGCAGCACGAGATCTCTTAGATGTTTCCTTGGATCACAAATCCTGCCATGTCCCCAGACAGCAGGCATCAATTTTCCAGTATAATCAGTTCATGTAAACAGGATTTCCTGAGATGGCTAGACAACTTGGCGTCCAAAGTCCGCATACGAATAATTCAAAATTCGAGGTTTCTGCAGAGGGGAAGGGTGTTAAAAGCGAATACTGGAAACGCGAAACAAGTATTTTGTGAAAGGTAAGCAGACCCCGACAATAAAAGCACTAGTTTATATGACGGGCTCCTATCGATAGTGGGTCCCAGCGGCAATTCCCGTTCACTTTCCGGTATACATTCTCCATTTTCTGCATTACGTGGTGGATTGCGGCCCAAATGTTAATATTAAATTTCGGATGGAATCTAGGTGTTTTTCGAATTTATTCTACAGTGAGTGCCTTCGCCACACTTCCCCGAAGAAACATTGAAGTGAGTCTTACTGCGTAAGACCAAGGTTGACTCAAATCTGCAGCACTTTATTTTCTCATCATCACAAGTTCAAAAGGACACTAGAAAATATAATAAAAAGGTCATATCTAGACTCTGAATATTACAGCTAGTGAAAAAAGAAGGTTGACTAAAAATAAAACAGAAAATGGAGCGCAAAATCACAGCCAGATGAGCAATTTACACCCAGAGGAACGTGCTTATTCGGAATTGCCGCGAGGAGAAGGGATCGGGGAAATTGGAGCGGACAGCATACAGTGCACTAGTGTGTGAACAAGAACTTGCTACACGCACCGTCTGGCACTTCGATGTCGCCGCGGGGGAAGTCAGAACGTACGAGGGAAGACCATTCCTCCATCGAAGATTGTCGTTGTAGAAGCATCAGACGGGTAAAGAAGGGGGTCTTCCCGTTTCTACCAGAGCTCGGTTCAGGAGTTTCACTTGTTCTCCGTAGCCTGTCTGACGACGGCTCTGAAATTGAACGTTTAGCGCCACTCTCAAGGTCGTTGGCAATGGTGGCAACTCTGTGAAGACCGTTCGCAGGCCGCAGGTCGTCCATATTGAGGTCCCAGATTTCACCCCCGTCACCCAAATCGAGAGATACCGAAGAAAGGGACCGTGATGAACCGTTGGAAAGGGAATGGCCTCCGCTCTTTTCACTGGGGAGATTCTCATGTTGACTAAAAGTGGGAGATTGTGTATGGTTGACGGGGGAGTGGGCAGATGCGTTCGACGCTTTGGGGGACCTAACTGCATCCGGAGAGGCCTGTTTCTTTCCAAATGATGACGCAGGTTGATTGCCTGCCTCAGCTGCTCGAGCCTCGCGTCTGCTCCCGGCGATCACTGACCTGATCGTCCGCTTCCGTAGACCAAAAGAGCGCATAGCGTTGGCCTGAAAAAAAAAACAAACGAAACGATGGTAGAGGAAAACTTACAAAATAAACGTAAAGGTTAAAAATTAACCGATAAGTCTCAGTTTGCGGCTATTAATATTTCCTATGAATAACGGAGGCATTTACAGAAGTCGACTCCAAAGGACAAGGAAAGCATCGTTGACCTACGAGATCACGACGGTGTCCTATCTAATTGTCAGTCACATTGTCACTGAATCAAGAGGGACGAGGTGGGAGTTGTGCAGATGGTGGAAAAAGGCATTTCACTAGTTTATCTACTTCACAAGTCACTCATCACCCTCTCTTTCTCTCTCCCTGTCTCCGATATAATGAACACTGTAAAGTCGTGCGGTCTACGGAGGAATGTAACTCCCATAGGCTGCCCAGGCTTAGTCCGCTAATTCTTCTACTGAGAGCACCAATAAGTAGCAGTCTGTTACGCCTTCAAGAGGTAAAGGGTCAGAATATGTGCCCATACCGAGTTTTCATTCGACGTTGAGTCTTCAATAAATTCTGAGCCTGTCTTGTAACCGGAATTGACGATGACCTTCGTGACTGCGAAGTTAAACTCGTGGCCGGTTTGAAGGTGTGAGCAGTCACTTGCCGCACAGGCAGCCTATGTCCACGTATGCGGGATCCGAGCATGCGTTCAATTTGACTAATGCCACTGCAAGGATAATTTAGGCATGGGATACGACACACAAAGTGTTTGTGAGACCAACGAGCATGGCAAAAGGCCAACAATTATTTGATGCTAGTTCACTCACAACTGAGTAGTGAGGAAAATAATGTCGATGGTTCCTCGTCGTTTGCGTAAACCATGCTGTGTCTACGGCAGAGGCCCTTTTGTCGCAAAAGTAAGGTCAGAAGACGAACTAGGATTGTTGGTAAACGTTTCTTCAATGTTGAACAAAGAATGTCCTCATGGATAATTTCGGAGTTTATTAGCATTCAGTTTTCAGAAATTAGAAACGGCGAAGTTCTTGTTATTAGGAAAATATCGTCATCCACGCTCTCCAAAATGGAAATAATCGCTCTTTTCTATACGAGACCCCCATACTTACGATTCGGCGGGAATCTTGTTCACGACAGGAGTTTATCTAATTAACGATACTTGGAATGTGTTGATTACTTGTGGGAACAGAGGACATATAAACTAATTTTAACCTCAACTCTGGCAATTACGATAAACGAATGAGGGTATGTAAGAGAGATTCTTTTCAGCGTTCCAGACTGAGATCTTGCCAGCAGCAGGGAGATAGTAGATCACCTTGGTGAGCGTGAAAAAATGTTTCATCTTCTTTAGATTAATATATCCCCGGATTTCCTTTGCCTTATCGTTTTGTCATGCATTTCGCATCTCGCGAAAGTTCTGTTGCATTTATCGGTGTAAAATTAACGAAAATGACTTTTTTTTCAAAAGATTTTGGACACTGTTTTTCAGGTTAGGCGAAATCGGTTTTCCTCGGAGAGGACATATTGAACCAAGTCCCACACGTAGGTTCGAGGAGGTCCATTGTGGTGACCAGGACGGTGCCATGCAGTGTGCTTCAGATGTGTTCAGCACACTTATTCTTCTTCTTGGAGGTTCGGTTGTTCCACTTTATCCTACGGCCAAGATAAGCATTGTTGATTGAGGGCAGCCTCCGTCAACCTACTTGAAGCTCGTTGATGAAAATTCACCGGTCACAAATGGAACCCACTTGTTCCGCTCTGCCTTGGGGCTCATTCTCGAGTTTCGCCAGCAGCCGCAAAGTGGCTAGTAGTCTAGCCAGATAACCTTGCCAGCAAAGGCAGAGGAAACTGAGTGAGTTCCGTTAGCGATCGGTGAACGTTAATCAATGAGTGTCAATATTCCCGATCTAAGTCGGCAAGAAAAAACCCGTGGTTCAGTGGTCAGAACGTTAGACTCCCAATCAAAAGGGTCGCAGGCTTAAGCCTCGGGCAGTGCACTATTTGGGTTTGAGTATGGTTGGTTGATGATAGCTAATGAACCAGAAGGCAAAACACTCCTTCCCGGTAATGTAGCAGGTGTTAACTCACGAATGGACAGCTCCAAGATAGAAACATTAGAAGGAGGCGTAGATGTCCGTAGAAATAACAGTGAGGTAATTTCCGCTGGCAGCAAGAGGAGGGGGGGTACAAGTAGCCATTTCTTCAACACTAACCAACGACGATCATTTTGGGGGCGAGCATTTGTATGGGAAAGTGCACTGGCCATCCTTACACGCGTTAGCCCATGAGCCACAGTAGCCAGTAACACAGTTTTGCTGAAATCAATGAGAGAGAGTTTCGCTGGGTGAGGACCGAGCCCATACAGTAGTGTATTGCATGCGGTTGTCAATACCCAAAACTGTACTTTCGTACTATTCCTGGGCACACATACACGGCAAATGGTGCGCACAGTTCTCCCAACACTTTGGCGCAAGATGAGAAAACAGGTCCGCCATGCAGGTATACTTTCCCTGGAACTACTACTAGACAGGTCATGAAAATGCTGCATACACAAAGTGACTCGATTGGCAGAGGGACTGTCGCCGACCTCGTTACGGGACACATTTTCCGTTATGCCGTGGGACGTACATGCCAGCTTCGCCAGCAGTTGTTAAAGAGGGCTAATAAACCAGAGCTGATCATTCCCCTATCCCCTTGTCTTCGTGAATCCACTACCTGAAGCTAGAAATAACATGCCTCAGCCCCGCAGTTGGAAGCAGACTTCTATAGGCAACTGGAATGCCTTCCTACTGGCCAGTAGGAGATGCCGTGCAGCAGTACTAAGTACTCAAGATAATACTTTCAAAGATTATTACGTGCAGGTTATGGAGTTGGGTGATCGAGGTATTACTTCTTAGCGCCAGACCCGAACACTTGAGCCATATCCCGGTCACTCTACTCTATGTTCTGCACCTAATAATTTCTGAAAGTATTACCTCAAATATTATTTTGAGTTAAAGTACTAGAAACCGCACAGACAACGTTAGGGGGCCAACTTTGGAGCCGAATCCCTAGAGGCTGCCTCAAGCAGCAGCAGGAACACAACCAAAACACGTGTTTAACCTTTCAGCTAGTGGGGCATAATAGCCTTGCCAATGCTGAGCACAAAATAAGGTAGGAAGCTAAAATGTGCCTTCGTTGAAGGGTTTTTCTGTGCAAAATGTGTAAGTTCTCGGGTCTGCTGAATAGGCAGTCGCGAACCACGAAACGGTACCCGCTTGAGGCGTGTTTGGGACGACAAGTTGGTAGATCCGTTATCTGCATAACGGTATTACAACATAGCGGATTCTGTTCACCATATGACAAAACCTCATCCAGAAAATTGAAACATTGTTTTCCCGGAAAATATTTGATTAAGGCCAAGATCACAAGGTTAGCAGGATTTATTGACGTTCTAAAATTTCGTGACCTCTTATTCAACTGCCGACGGACGTCGCCTATTAATAAGATAATTAACCGTCTGATTAAATGTTAGCCTAGAAAGATGAAACTTGATAGGTAAAGCAAGTAAAAACAATTAGTCTTAGATGTGGGCGTATGGTGAGGACTGACTGCTACTGCCCCCCCCCCTCTAACCACGTCCCACATTCATGAACATGAACTGCCATGCTGTGACGACTACCCTCCCCCGCTCTATCCCTTCACCATGCACCCACATCTAAGACTAATTGTATCTACTCTCTTTACCTATCAAGTTTCACCCTTCTAGGTTGACACTCAATTGGACGGTTAATTATCTTATTAATAGGCGACGACCGTCTGCACTTGAATAAGTGGTCACAAAATTTTATGACGTCAATAAATCCCACTAACCTCGTGATCTTTGCCTTCTTCGAAACCTCATCCGTCATTAACCAAATCCTTGAATGAAAAACATCGCGAGGCTAAAGATAACCCTTCCTCAAAGAAGTTAATCCACGCAAATTATTTCTAGTGAAGCATGCTTACCGGAGTTTTGCGACACCTGGATGACCGTGATCGACACACTCCGGTAGGGGTTACCGGAGGGCAGTGGAGTCAACACGAACTGCTTTCTGACCAAAAGACCGGAACTGCGGAGCCAATGCCAGTAGTGGTTTATAAAAGGAAGTTGTGAACACATCGGGGGATACGTCGCGAGGAAATTTTGTTCAAAACTTGACGAAAAAGAAACCTAGTAAAAGGCCGACCGAAACCAGTCACCGTCCAAGACATTTCACGGATCCTGATAACCAGTTGTTCGCCTGCACTAACGGACGTTCAAAGGTTAGATTCGGAAGAACAGTTGTCATTTCGACGGTCGCATCGGTCTTTCGGGTTCGTCGAAGCAAAACAATAAACTGGTTTTGAAACTTACTAACTCCTCAGGAGACATATCCGCAGGCATCGGTCCGGTCAGAAAGGAAGCCAGTTGATCAAAGTCGCTGACCAGCAGCTTCTCCTCGTACATTCGCATTATGCCAAGAGCAGCGAGGATGAGTGCAGACTCGCCATCACGGAAGAAGAGATCCCACACCCGAAGATTCGCCTCTATGGGGAGGCTTCGGCTGTGGATAGGGACATCAAAACCAAGGGAAGGAGTATGCATTTCAAGAATGGGCGATGAGTCACATTTAAAAAAGGTGATGGAAGCGGAAGGGTAAGTGCTGTGTTAAGAGGTTTCGTGCATACGGTCTTGTCACGACCAGAACCAAGGCAGGATTTTTCAAGACAGGGATAAAAGTTTCTTTAGTGCTATGTAATCGTGAGCGGCTCATGTCTTTAAAAAAAATAACGGTGAAGCCTCCAAAAGAAATTTTTGCATGCAATGGGAGCAGTTGTGTCCGCGCGTGGGGTAAAAAATGTCAGGAAGACAAAACAAGGAACAAGACGCAATTAAAATTCCGAAGAAGAGTTAAAACTAAACTTAAATGCT